CATGTGAAGCTCAAACTAAGTGACAACTCAGCCTGGAGAGGAAGTCCAAGAAAGACAACGTTTCTCTATGGTTTCCTGGGTCAGTTTCAGTTGCTATGCTGCACCCATGTAACCCTTGGCAGCCACCTTGGGTCAGCATGGTCTATTTAAGTCCCTGTACTTGGATTTTGGCACGCTTCTGGTGTGTGGCCAGTGTAGGGAGAGCAACCCTGCTTGTTAGGTAAAGTAACTAGCAGTAGGGTAAGGTGCCTGACGAGGAGGGAAAGATTAGGGACTTGCTATCCTGGAAAGGAGCTTCCCTCTAGAGAATGGAATGGTCAGGCCGCGCTTCACCCCTGAAACAGACACTTTCGACACCTCTTCGCCTCTACATCTGACTACACTGAACTGTGAGTTATTTCCAAAGAGGTGCTCTCCCGTCAAGTTCCAAGATTTACTGCAACCAGACTCTGTGTGTTTACTGCCCACACCACACTGCACCTTCCCACTTGATATAACGGATTATCTCAGGATCAAGAGTGGAGAAGGAAGTAGTTGCCACTGGGAAACAAGGACTGGTGTAAAGTGTTTTAGCAGCCTGTCGTGACGTGTGGTAACTGGGTAAGGTGGGGTGTCCTCCGGTAGCGAGGGAGTCGGTGTTCTGGCTGCCTCCCTAGCTGTTAGTTTCCCATAGCAACCAGTACCCAACCCAACCTGCCTTATGGAGACCTTCAGCCTAGCCACATGGTACAGGAGAGAGAGAGCAAGGAGTTAAGTGAGAGCAAGCACTGGTTAATTTCACCTGAACATGGCCTCTGCCCAGTCCCGGGCATTGGTGAGTGCATGCACAGAAGGTACCCCATGTGCAGGGTGAGTGACCAGCCCACTGCTTGGGGTAGCCCAAGAACCCCATGGCTTACAGCAAGTAAAACCACAGCGAGCCCACAAAGTAAATGTAGAATATTTATTGTGTATGTATAACTACGAACTTATTAATTTTTTCCTGTTTTTTATGATGAATTTTGTAAGAAGTTGAAATATAACAATGTTTTAATAGTAATTCATGTCTTTTTTTCATCAACACAGCTTCACAAAACCTAAAGTGGGGTCTTTAAAACCCAAGAAATGCCTTGTGTTATTGACTGTTGGACCAACCCAAATCTACTGCCATGCAAGGATCTGAAAAAACATATCCTATAAAGAAATGAGTAATAGGCAGAAGGGTGGCTATGACAATGGCAAACTGTGAAACAATTATTTTATTAATTGTAAAATGCATTGTTGTGTGTTGATGAGCAGGCTATTTGTGGTCAGAAAATTGTGCACTTTAAGAAACTATGGATCAATGTTTTAGATGTAGAATAACAATGTATGAAGTTTTAATCATAGTTTATATTTTATACATAAGAGGGCACCTTAATAGTCCCACATTTTCTTTTTTTTATTCTCATCAACAAGTAAATGTTGTCCCCAAATACTGCAAACTTAAAAAAAGGCCCTATTGTTATAAAATAAAAGCAAATGTTCCCCAAAAAAGTAATTAAAATCCTGTAGTACCACCATGAAACAAAAGCCCACTTTTTAAAAAGGAAAGTTTTGCATCACAAAGCAAAAAAAAAAAAAGGAATAGGAATGGAAAGAGGGCAGCTAAAAGTGAACACTGCCTTCAAATCAACCACAAACTAAAGTTAGAAAAAAAAGACCCACTAATAAGAACCCCCACCCCAATCAAAAAAGGCAACAATAGCCCACTTTTTAAAAAATGAAAACCTTGCACCCAAAAATAAATAATGAACAGCTATGGATGGGAGGAAAGCTGGTAACTAAAAGTGAACACTGCCTTCAAGTCAACCATAAACTAAAGTTAAAGAAAGAAGCCCCCAGTAATAAAAAACCCTAAAATAGGACAACAACAAAGGGGTGATTGCCCAAGGACTTAGCAATCGAATATTTTGCTAACACCACTGCAATTCAGAAAAGTAAAGAACAGTTTGCTAACTAACCCTAATCTTTCCCTAACCTCTCTCTACAGGAGTTTTAATACACTGACACTATGGCTACTCTGAATCCTCTTTACCAGTAAGTTTCATCCCTAGTACTGTGCAGCATCCATACATACAGAATAAGAAGAGATACTGAGATTTACACCAAGCCTACAGGACAAGAGAACTGCTACTGTGCAGCATCCATACATACACAATATGAATATATACTGAGAATTACACCCAGTATACAGAACAAAAGATATATATGTCCCGTGGGTAGATAGGTGGTAACAAACCAGTTGATTCCCTGGATATAAGGGTGAGTTGACATAGCTACATGTATGGGTTTGACAGCATACAAAAGGAATTAGATAAAGAAAACTAGAAAAGCTACAATTTCTGGGTAAATTGTGTGAAGTGTTCTTGCCTCCACCAGCAGTCTACAACTGGAGTGGCGGAGTAACTGGGTGGAGTGGCTTGAATAACTGTTGTGTGGTTGGAGTGGCTGGAGTAACTGTGAAAAGGTTTTGTCAGCTTCACTCTAGTTTTGAACATTCCGCCATTCATTCCTATGGGACCAATTTCACCACAAAAATGCCGATATTTCGTGAACCATTCGGCGAAACGTTCCACAAAGTAATAGCACACCAATCGGGAACAATCCGCACGTTTTGGTATATTACTGTCTATGTAGTGTAAAAACTGTGGGAGGAGTTAGGGTGGTAAATTTGGCTATAATAATAAGAATATATATGTGAGATAACAGTAAGTGGTCTTGCCATGCAAGAACACTTAATAAATCTAACATATCCATCTGAATGGGGCAATTTATCCTACTTCCTCTAAGGTGGACTGAGGAGTGGATCAGCTCTGCAGACGCTGCAATCTACTGCCTTCACAACTGCTGAGCATTAACAGAAATTAAGACGGACATTTATTTGCCGGCTCTTGAAATGTTTTAACTGGGATTTTAAATATTTAATAAGGAGCGAGGATGCCGCAGAGAGAAAGAGTCACGCTGTGAGAAAGGAGGGGATAGTTCTGTACAGATGAGGGATACTGTGCTTTTGTGTTTTAACCCATTAAAGGCAAACTTTTACAATGGCTACCATTTATGTTAGCAGATTATACACTGCTTCTACAGAAATCCATTGTCACTTGTTTCTGATGTGTTGGCATGTTTGTGAACACCTGTATGTAGGGGTTAAGCGTCTGGGTATGTAACAGGTAACTACGTATGGCGCTATGCTTCTATGCATGTGTGGGTCAACCAATTAGTATTCTTTCTTTCTTTATATTTCTCTTTCTTTCTTTCTTTCTTCCTTCCTTCAGTTCTTCCTTCCTTCCTTTCTTTCTTTCTTTCTTTCTTTCTTTCTTTCTTTCCTTCCTTCCTTCCTTTCTCTTCCTTCCTTCCTTCCTTTCTTCCTTTCTATCTATCTAGAGCAAAATGTACAAATGTTGATTCTAAGGGAAGGTAGAATGTATTTGCAGCAACTTTGACACCGTGCATTTGTAAAATAATGTCAAATAAGAAGAAGTATATAAGAGAGGTACAAATCCTCCTCCTCCGATCAGCAGAATCACAAACAGCTGCCTGGGGGGAAGAATTTGACTTATACCTCCCTCTTGTTCTGGTATCACTTACCCCCAGGAGACGCCTCACACACCCCCCGTCTTGCTTACTAGGCACTACTGTTCTCCGCTGTACGTCTACACACTCTTCTTGTGCCATTAACTGTTCTATTAGCCCCATTGCTCAAATAATGTTCAGAAATAGATTTAGAAACAAACTGTTTCTAGCTCCATCCATTACAGTCAAATGTAATTCACAAACCTTTTGTTGCACTGCTATTAATAAGTACAGAGATACAAAATAATTTTCTTTAATGAATGCATCCTGGGGGATTGCTTTGGCATTAAGTGGGGTTTTTTGACAGCACAGTCTTCCATGTGAATAAAGAAATAAAACATCCTATTTTCTCCAGCAGTGAATATGTTAAACTGTTACGGCGACAGCAGCTGTCTCAAACAGTTGTATATAACTATCAGGTAGAGAACGGTTAATTCCAAGGAACAATGAGGGGAGGGGATGATGGGATCACGCTACAAACTCCAAATTTGTGTGTTTTTTTTTTTTTTAAATATATTTTCCCTTAACCAGCATTTCTAAATGTAGAAAGCTGTGAGTGCGGTCATGTGATCTCTGGATTATACACCAGTGCCTATCCTGCACAGAGAAGCCACACCAGCTTACAGCTCACAGGAGGACAACTTAACCCACTGGAGAATGAAACAATCGTATTTATTACAGAGCAGACTCATCCATAAAGTACGGCTTACAACTGTCTCTGTTGTACGTTATTACTGGGACCGTTGTTTCCCTTCTGTTTCAAAGCCAAGGTTTGTGTCTACGTGGAGACCAGCCTCAACCAAAAAAATGAATGGCCTAATAGCAAAAGTCCCCAATGGTTGATGCCCAGATCAAGGAAAGACCACAACAGAGGTGAAGAAAGGGGAGCGATCTCATTATTATTTTACACATTTCATTTTTGATATATGCTGTTTAAAGTAAAGCTAAAAGCAACTTTTTTTTTTATTTTGGATAGAATAGGATGGAGGGTGAGTAATAACAGCTGTCAGTTTTTTTGCCCATCTGTGTCTCATTCTCTCACCTTAGAGGGATTTCCTCTCACTTCCTGTTTTGGTTATAAGGCAGGAAGTGAAGGCAGAGCTCACCCTTCATTTCCTGTCCTATAGCCAAAACAGGAAATTCCTCCAAAGTGAGAGAATCCAGGGGTGTCATCAAAACTAGTGTCCCCATTGGAAGATTTCACTCTCGGTGATAACGATGAACATGGCAATTAGGGTAAATCTCCCTAATGGGGGCACAGACAGCAAAAATAACAGATCTTCTAATCCACTGTATTCAAAATAAAAAAGTTTTGCTTTTAGTTATACTTTAACCGCTTTCCCGCCACACTATAGCAGATATACTGCTACAGGACGGCATGGGTGCGCAAAATCACATATATATACATGATTTTGCATGTCTGGGTAGGGGGCCCTACCCACGCTGCTATTCGCGTCCTCGGCTGTCAGTCACTGGGTCCTGGACGGTGATTACTCGCTGGCAACCGGTGATTGAGGAGCATTATCGACGGAAGGAGAGAACTGTATGTAAACAATACAGTTCTCTCCCCTGTCAGCTCCTGCACACTGTTTTGAATAGCTCTGCAGTGTGCTTAGAGTGAAGCACACACACACAGCATACAGTAAAACAGCACGCAGCACACATTTAACCCTTTGATTGCCCCACATGTTAACCCCTTCCTGCCCAGAGCCATTTGTACAGTGTTAGTGCTTTTTATTAGCACTGACCACTGTATTGGTGTCACTGGGGATGTCAGTGACACCAAGTCAGTTCCCCCCAGTATCAGAATGCCCACCGCAGTCCCGCTATAAGTCACTGATCTAATAAAACAATATTAATGGCGCCACAGAAAAAATCTAATCTCAATGCCCCAATGGCTAATTACTCTTTAACCAGCTGCAAACTGCGCCCTCTAATAATAGGTGTATAAACAAAACACAAAATAATTTGCGCTAGTAAAAAACATATATAAATACACATATATGTATATTTATATATAAGTTTTTTACTAGCGCAAATTATTTTGTTTTTTGTTTATAAGTCACTGATTGCTGCCATTACTAATAAAAAAAAAATTAAATACCAGTATCTATACTGCCATTTGTAAACGCTATAACTTTCACGTAAATCAATTGATATACACGTATTGGGATTTTTATTTAGCAAAGACATGTAGCAGAATACATTATGGCCTAAATTTATGATGAAATTTGATTTTTAACTTTTTTTGGACATGTTTAATAGCAAAAAGTCAAAAATATAGTTTTTTTTTTTCTCAAAATTGTCAGAATTTTTTTTTATAGCACAAAAAATAAAAAAGCACAGGTGATCAAATACCACCGAAAGAAAGCTCTATTTGTGGGAAAAAAAGGATGTAAATTTAATTTGGGTGCAGCATTGCATGACCCGCGCAATTGTTGGTTAAAATAATGCAGCACCATAACGCAAAAAAGGGCCTGTTCAGGAAGGAGGGTAATTCCTCTGGAGGGCAAGTGGTTAAAGGGTTTGTAAAGATTAAGCTTTTTTTAAAATAACAAACATGTCATACTTACTTTCTCTGTGAAATGGTTTTGCACAGAGCAGCCCTACCTCCTCTTCTTGGGTTCTCCGCCGGTGCTCCTGGACCCTCCCTGCTGCTGAGTGCCCCCATGGCAAACTGCTTGCTCTGGGGCGCTTGTGCTTTCTAGTTGCCAAGCTGCCTCCATGTTTCTATGAGACACACAGAGCACAGCCAGTTCCAACCCCCCGCTACCTCCTCACTGGCTGTGATGGACAGCCAGTGGCTCTTGCTACTGTGTCGTAGCCAATGAGGAGGCAGAGAACTGGGAGAGCTTCTGCTCTCGTGCACAGTGCAGGTTTGGGCTCACGTACATATAAGGGGAGGCTGGGGGGGTAAGCTGTAAAATGCACGAGGTGAAAAAAAACCTTCAGCCTTTAGAACTGCTTGAAGCAAACATACTAACTTTCTGAGATTGGAAAGAGGAGCACCTTTTATTACAAAGTATGTAGGCTAAGGACACACTCCTGTTAATTTATATGCAAAAACTGATTGGCTAAACCGGTGTTTTTATTTACCACTTCATTCTTTTTATATTGACCTTTTAAAATAGTAAATGCAATCCTTTAGGAGCTAGGTTCAACTGTCGAGCTGCATTAACGCACATTAAAGCTCATGCTAACATGTTTTGCATTAAGGCGGTCCCATTTAGGGCCTTGAATTAAGGTTTTGCTGTAATACACTTTTTAATGTTAACTGATGCTAAACATCAGACCAAAAAGGGGGACAACTGAGGAGGAAAGAGGAATTTTAGTTTTGAAAGAGCAAAACTATCCCACCAATTTAGAGACAGTTGGGACCTGTAGTAAGGCAACATATATAGAGACATTATACCTACCTACACTCACCAGCCACTTTATTAAGTACGCCTGTTCAATTGCTTGGTAACACAAATTGCTAATCAGCCAATCACAGGGCAGCAACTCATTTAGACATCTAGATATGGTGAAGATGACTTGCTGAGGTTCAAAGTGAGCATCAGAATGGGCAGAAAGGGGATTTAAGTTATTATTATTATTATTTTATATAGCGCCAAAGGGTTTGCTCAGCGCTGTACAATAGGGGGGGGACAATACATGGCACAGTACAACAAAGACAGACAGCGTACGAGGGGTAAGAGGGCCCTACTCTTACGAGCTTACAATCTAGGAGGGAGGGGGTAAAGGTACAGTAGGAAGTGGCTGGGGGGGATGAAGTGGTAGGAGGAATGGTTGGATGGCCGTTAGGTGGGGGTGGGGTAGGCTTCCCTGAAGAGATGGGTTTTGCCTGAATGTGAATACTGTAAGGCGACAGTCTGATCTTGGGGCAGTGAGTTCCAGAAGGATGATCTGGAGAATCCTCTGTCGTTGGGAGGAGGAAGTGATTTTGAATGGCATGGTTGTTGGTGCCAGACGGGCTGGTTGGAGTATTTGCTAATATCATGCCACACTGTAAGTATCTTAAGAAACTTGATCTAATCCTCTGTTTCATTTTATAATTTACTTAAAGCTGAATCCCATTAAATTCAATTATGTCTTTTTAAAAATAATCTTAAGTATTTTTAAAATGCAACAAGTACTGTATAAATACCTGATTTTGTTTGGCTTTCAACCTTTTGTAATCTTCTATAAAGAAGCTCTGCAGGAGGGGAAGTATAAGAGCTTATCAAGTGTCCTATGTTCACATGTGTGTGAACAAGGAATTGGCAGTGAGTGATCTAATGATGTTGGTTAACTGCAGCAGAGAAAAAGTCAGGTCACCAAGTTAGCTGTGCTGTCTGGCAGGACTATGTAAATCTCAGGACTGTATGGACAGAAATACAAACCATTTGACAGGTAAAGCAGGCACCATATATGCATTTCAATATCTGTTTACCTGGAGTTCACCTTTACATTATTATTATACAGGATTTATATAGTAAAAACAGTTTGCGCAGCGCTTTACAATATAAGAGAGACAGTACAATTGCAATACATTTCAGTACAGAAGGAATATGATGGCCCTGCTCGTGGAGTTTACAATCTAAAGGAAGGGGAGGTGATACAAAAAGCGATAGCTGCAGGAGATGATCTGGTGGAGGTGATTCAAGTACAGCTATTCAGTGGAGGTGGGGTAGGCTTCCCTGAATAAGTGAGTTTTCAAAGACCGCCTAAAGGCAGACAGGGTGGCTGCTGACCAGACATACTTTGGTAGGGAGTCCCAGAGGATGGGAGAGGCTCTGGAGAAGTCCTGGAGGTGAGCGTGGGAGGAGGTGATGAGGGAGCTAGAGAGGAAGATGGCTTGAGAGGAGCGGAGTGGGCAATTTGGGCAATATCTGCAGATGAGGTTGGCGATGTAGCTAGGGGCAGTGTTGTGGATGGCTTTGTAAGCTGTGGTTTGTACTTTGAATTTTATACGTTGGGTTAGTGCAGTGCTTCTCAAATAGGGGGGGTGCGAGGCTCCGTCAAGGGGGGCGCGTACAGGGGTGGGCAGAGGGCTGCTGTCTCTTACCTGGCTCCCGATGATCCATCCAGGAAGCGCTGCTCCTTCCGTCACTCCGGCCACTCCCTCACTCCTGCCGCTCGGCTCCGCCTCCTCATTAGTGATTGGCCGCCAGAACTGTAGCTCAAGAAAGGTACACAGGCGGCCAATCACGGGCGAGGAGGCGGAGCCAAGCGGACCCGCGAAAATCGAGTGAGGGAAAAGCCGGTAAGTGTGTGCTGCAACCACATATGCTGGCTGCAGCAGCACCATACTGCAACAGGGGTCAGCAAGTGTCATTGGTGTCAGTGGGAGGAATAGTGCCGCATCATTGGTGTCACTGATACTAATGATGGGGCATTATTCCTCCCACTGACACCAACGATGGGGCACTATTCCTCCCACTGACACCAATAATGGGGCACTATTCCTCCCACTGATACTAATGATGGGGCATTATTCCTCCCACTGACACCAACGATGGGGCACTATTCCTCCCAGTGATACCAACGATGGGGCACTATTCCTCCCACTGACACCAATGATGGGGCACTATTCCTCCCACTGATACCAATGATGGGGCACTATTCCTCCCACTGACACCAATGATGGGGCACTATTCCTCCCACTGATACTAATGATGGGGCACTATTCCTCCCACTGACACCAATGATGGGGCACTATTCCTCCCACTGACACCAATGATGGGGCACTATTCCTACTTATAACAATTTTATAGACAAATGATACTATTTACAGTAGCGCGGGGGGGCGCAAAATGTTTTCTTCTTCCTAGGGGGGGGGGGGGGGGGCATGACAGAAAATAACTGAGAAGCACTGGGTTAGTGGAACCCAGTGAAAGGATTGACAGAGAGGGTCAGCAGTCACTGATCGGTTGGTAAGGTGTATGAGACTAGCAGCAGCATTCATAATAGACTGAAGGGGGGGATAGCATGTGTAACGGTAGACCAGTGAGGAGGGAGTTGCAGTAATCAAGATGGGATAAAACCAAGGCGTGGATAAGTTGTTTTGTGGTGTCATTGGTCAGAAAAGGGTGGATTACATAATCATGGAAGGATAAATCAATGGCTCATGTACACTGCAGCTGCTAAACTCACATTTAGAAATGTTCAGCGGTTTTTAAGCAGCCCCTGAACTCACCCTAATGTTTTCCTATGAGTCCATGTACACATCTTCATTTACAGTCTTTTTTTGAATGCAGAAAACTTGCGTTCAGCAGTCGATTTTATCAGCGTTTCAAATGGAAAATGCTTGTAAACGAGGCTAAACGCGTTTATAATCGGTTGCGTTTGAAACATTTTTTTAACTCTTCCAGTTCCCGATGCTGTCCAGAGCCTTTTTTCATCATGAAAAATGCAGGCAAAGCGTTTTCAAGGTACTAAAATGGACAAAACACTGAACACAGGATGTTCCTACCAAGCTTGTCACACATTGTAATGACCAATTCACAACTCAGACTTTTCAGGGCATTCTGGGCATTTTGGAGATTCTCCTGTGCTTAGCTTGAAAAAAAATGCTTCTAAACTCAAACGCGCATAAACGCATTAGGCAAACCCCGCTAAACAGACTTTTTTTACCCTACGTTTTCCAGCAGTCAGTTTCCATCTGAAAGTTCAAAAGTGTCCCGTGTACATGGGGCCGTAGACTGCACCTCTTTATTCTATACAATGTCCAGATATCACGGCCATCATCCAGTTCTGAGTCCTTATACTGAGGGTATCATAACAAGGATGGGGAGTGGGTATACAAAAAAATACTAAAACTAAGACAGTTGCATTACATTTAATCACACT